ATTTCTTTTTTAACTTAACATATTTGATATATTAACAGGGTACAAACTGTATAGTGTTTGTGCAGCAGGTAGTGCACGTATGCTACACCCCCCCCATAAAGCATGCTGTCAGGTTATCAGGAAGACAGATAGGGCTATCATAAATGAAGGGCATGCAACCCGAGCAGAGGGTGATCTAAATATAAACCAAATCCATTAGTGAGGCTGATGTAAAGTGTCTGAGTCCTGCAAAGCCAAAATGCAACTGTATCCTAGTGACTTTGACTCCTGCCTTTTTTCTTGAGATAATTTTATAATGTGCAACAAGTTATCAGCGACTGGTTGTTTTCAATCATTTATTGCTGCTATGTAGGATAGCAGAGCACTGTCCTTTTTAACATGAAATAATTATTTTATTATCTGTATTTCAGTCTGTGTACACTTACCTTAAGTGTTATTGATTCATAGTTTTACACAAGCTTAGAATTAAGGCTGTAAATAAACAATATTATTATTATGCTAGATGTGTCCAACAAATACAGCTTATATTGCTGTCTTTTCTTACGCAATTCCTTTTAAGTCCAGTTTTATTTAAAGTTTTTTTTTTTTTACTTAGACATTTCTTGTTTATTCAAAGTATGAAATAAATTTGGAACCAATTTTATTTTTGCTTCAAAGTAAAAATTTTTGAAAATGTTGTTTTACCTAAATGCTTTTATGTGCCCCTGATACACTTAAATATATCCCCATCTTGGGACTAAAACACATTTCTTCTTCTCATATTACATGTAAAAATAACATGTAAAAGTAAATCTCTTCAGCTGACTACCTACAGGCAGGTTACAGCATAGAACAAACACCATGGAAGTAAAATCATTATAGCCCTGAGAAAGTAAAGAACACATATTGATTAAAGGCAGCAGCTGTCAGTAAGTGTTAAGATGATGCAAGGAGCTTCATTACATCACAGCGTCTAACCAGCATTTATCAAGTCTTCGTTCCCGCCCATAATGAGCAAATCACAGCAATATTCAACCTACTTTTTAATGTAGAAACGTTGTTATTGAATCAGTCGCTTTGCACCATCAATTCTCCTATGTGCTCGTGTTGAAGTTGCGCGAAGCATCCAGAAATCTTTTTCAATTCAAAATGTCTGAAATAGCGTTGAGTTTCTAGCTTTATAGAGTAGCCCAACAACACCTTGTTACGGCTTAAAAACATGCAAATTGAACCGAACGGACAGGTCCACCCCTTAAAAGGGCAGATTATACTTCCGCAACCGTAAACATCAAATGTCGCTTGGGTCTGGTCGTGAACAAGTTTTGCTGGTATGCTTCTTCACCGTCGGTCTGGAATTTTTAGGGACACACAGCACTTTCCAGCCAAAGCGCAAGGGGAAGCCTATTCGAGAACTTGCGAGAACTTCGGCGGATGGTCACGAGTTGTACTTCTACACCTCCTCAATTACTCTTTCGTCGTAGTTGTCCAATGTAGTTCTAGGCATACGAAGGACCAATCACAGCTGATTTTTGGCGGCACACTTCCGCTTGAGGTCTGCGCGGGTTTGTAACAGTCGGACGCATAGTCAGGATTTTTTTGAGGCGCGTGCACAGAGACAGATTTGACGGTTGCAGAGGCTATGCGTCAGAAGCATAAATTGGCCTTAAGGCTGGTTTATGCTCAGAATGCAAATTTGCCCCCGCCCCTTCCACAGACACTCTGCTGCCTCCCTTTGGTCCACATCTACATCCACTCTACACTATGACCACCATTGTGGAAAACGACTCGTGAAGTTGGACAAGCTAGAAGAGCAAGGTGCGCAAAACGCTGGGACCCTTTTTCCACCTGGATCCCCGCTCTTTTTCACCCTCATGTCCCTCCGTTGTTGAGCAATCTTGCCCCCACTTCCTCACCGCCTCGGCCGTATCTGGACCCACAGTTGGTTCCTGATTGTCCCTCTTGCGTTGTGGCGTGGAATAACATAGCACAGACCACGCTTAAATATTGGGCATAAATCAAAAATATCTGAAAAGGGAGTCATTAGGGTAGAGTCCTGCAACGGGTCGGGTACCCACGGGTCCCCGACGGGTCACCCGCCAAAATGCTCTTTTGTGGGTGAAAAATACATAAATAAATGGGTCAGGCGGATATTTTTTTAGTGCGGGCGGATAGTTGGTGATTTTTTTTTTTATGCGTGTGTGTTGTTATGGACATCAGAAATGTTATATTAATCAGGCACTGGGGTCACCCTTGTTGTAGCTTAAAGCCTTGCTGGCAGTGTGGGCTTCCCTCCAAAAAGGCCACAGTCAGTGCATACACGTCTGCTGCAGTGTTAATGGCGCTGTTCTGCAGCGCAGCGTACTATAGCCTATTACTTGATGTGTTAATGGGTCGGGTTGCGGGTTAAATATCAACGGGTCGGGTCGGGTTCGGATTTGAATTGAAGATATCCGCGTGTGACGGGTCGGGTTCGGTAGTCATCCTAACGGGTTCGGGCGGGTGTGGGTTGGTAAAGCTCGACCCGAGCAGGACTCACCCTACATTAGGGTCATTGTTGGCCTGTGTTACCAGGCTAGATGTTTTGGTCCCCTGCATGGCGATAAGGATTGAGATGAAAACCTGACCTAGCAAGCACAAATCAGTAGAGTAGGCTATCCTTAAAAGAGTAAGATCATTCTGCTAAAAACAAAACACTTTGTGCTAAATAGAAGCAGATAATTTGCCTTACTCAAATTGTGCAAGGGATTATTTTGCCCTGCTTCAAATTACTACAAAATGCGACACTGACTTGTAACCAGACTTACAGGATTATATCTAGCTTGCACAAAGCTTACAGATCGTTTTAACAACACGTGTGTGGAGAGGATTCTGTGGTAGGAGACTGAAAGAAAGTTATTTTCCATTTAACTAAGGTTAGAGGAAAAGCAGCACTTCAGCAGGTAGTGGTCATTTCACTCTCTCACCATTTGTAATGCTTTTATAGTTTTGTTGTCCGACTTTACAGGAACCCAGTAAGAAATCCGATCTGGTCTTGATGCAGAGTAAATATTAATGACAGCTCGCAGCAGGAAGGGAAGAAACCGATATTATACCCCTAAATACAATTGGAACTAAAAACAGATCTAGAGAAACCAGAGATTGGCTTCAGATAAGTCATCTAGATCTCAAACCTGAAACCAACACAGAGAGATCAAGAATAATATTTCTTATAAGCAATTAAAGATCAAAATATAAATTAAATATTTAACCTTAGAATTTAAAAGAGTTCTAACATACCGTTCTGATAACCTGATTCCAGTGAGCAGAGAACCTGCTTTACCTTCCTTTATCTCCTCAGGTGAGGAGATAAAGGAAGCTCTACAGGTCAGACCTTTGCCCTACTTACTAAAAACTTCTCTGTATACTCCGCACACTGTCCAGGAGACTAAAGACCCCATCCTCTACCCTCCTCCCCCTTTCATGTGTAAATAAAAAAAGGGAACAAAATGCCCAGCTTTGGCCTCAGGTTAGCTAATTTCACAGTGGTTGAAGGGATTTATTATGCAGGCCTCGTTGTGAATGTGTGTACGGTGAGGTGAGCTGGGGGAATTTAAGCCTTTTCAACAACCCATCCATCTGGTGAGCAGAGAAAGAACTGATTGAGGGAGACAGTTTCCTAGATGGTGTAAAAGACAAGCAATTAAAGTGAAAGACTTCTAGGAAAGCAGCGAGCGCTAACCAGGCCTTTAAATTTTTTGGCCTTATGAATATAGCAGTAAAAAGACGAGATGGTGTGTGAAAAATGGATGGAACAGAAGCGGTGGGATACTAGAACAACCTGGCGGAGGAATATTTTGCTTTTAAAAAAAATTTATGGCAAGTTGGAAAAAAGACAGAGCTAGAAATATGGCCTTATAATTTGCAAACCAGGAGCTATTTATTGGGTTTCTTTTATGGATCTGAGTCTTTATGAGTCATTCACCCTTTGCTTGGTTTTTAAGAATATGTATAAGAGCTCCAAAACATCGGAGAAATGGTTTCCATTAACAGGAAGGACTTTTCCCGACTCTTATCAATACGCTATATATACCTCACACTAAAAGCATATGTTGCGAACTTGAATCATTTGTTTTGTATCAGGGCCAATAAGCTTCAACATCACTTATTCTGATAAATCCACCTATGGATATAATTTGGATTAAACCAGTAGTTTTTTTGTGCACTTTGTTTTTCCTCAAATTTTCTTCGAAACACATGGAGTAACGCTTCAAAGTGTCATACAGTGTAAAAAAGATCATTAGAATAAGGAGGTGTCATCAGATAACAAAAGTTTTTTCTGCTTTCTAATGATTTTTGCATAAATATATATATACAGTACAAATGAGAGTAGCACTGTTTTTAACTAAGCCAGATTTAAAATTAGTTATGTTAACACAGGTAACAGTTAAATTAGCTTTAACCCAAACGGCTCAGAAATCAACATTTGAGGGAAGTTGTCTTTAATTTTCTATAATCTGTAAATGTTTTTCTTGTCTGAGATGCACTTTTTTCCCCTAGAGTTTATTTTTATGCACTAGTGGTCTTTATATTATTTTTGATAGTAGGCAAACAGGAAATCCCTGAAGCGTCCGCATCAGGGACCAAACCTTCCATAGGTCAACTGCTTAACCCGTTCACCACGGCCGAAAACACTAGAGTCAAATAAAGATATTTTTCCGCAAAAATGTACATAATGTCTTTTTAAACACATAAATGCTACCTATAAGGCTGAAGTCAGAAAGTCTTTGTCTCTTTTTGTAACGCAACCAAAAATCAGGTCACTTTGCAAACTGGATATTCATTTTTTTGTTTCCTTTTTTAATAATGATCATACTGCAAATGCAACTGTCCAAGCCTAACATTTGTGGATTTGACAAATACTGGATGTAATGCTTGCAAGACAGCACATGCATACTGACCCAAAATAACACGTGGAACAAAACTGGTTGAGCTTCAGTTAGTTTTTACAGCACATCTCATGAAACTTGTTGTGGGAACATTACCATGGTGATGCGGCAAAGCTTGACTGGCTGAGCGCTGAAAGCCGGAAACGATCAGCTCCTCAGGCCTGCGGGAAGAGGTGCGCTCCATCCTTTCCTATCAAAAAAAAAAGACAAAAATAAATTTCATTCAAAAATCAAGATAATAAAACTACGATTAGGCTGCCAGGCATTTTACTGAAGGATAAACCATCATGAGTTCAAACTGTAAAAAAAAAAAAAAAGGAACGTCTTGCTGTTATAGTGCCATCTTAGGGTAGAAAAAACAGAAAATATATCCAGTAAAGTTTCGGTTACATCAACACATCTAATAGTAAAAGAAACAAACACACATCTGGTCACACGTCTGGGGAGACAATGTCAAGTTCCTCACACAATGTCTAATTTGAAACAGCCTGGGGGCGAGAAAGCTGTCAGAGAGAAAGAGGACAAAAAGCCAAATTTTAAATCTCCGCTTTTCCTGGAAAAAGAAGAACGCGGAAGCGCTGCTTCCAGGAATTGCTCGTGGCCAGGAGTCCTGTTGTGCACGCGTGCACATACACACAAGCTCGCATCTCGTCTCTGTGCTTCGAAAACATCCATAAATGTCATGAGCCAGATTTATGGCTCTGAGAAGGAGCAGCCAAACGCTTTCCAAGGAAGACAGCTTGACTGCTGGGCCTGTGGTCTGACTGCAGCCTTTAGCTCGGACAGAGGAAGAGCAACTCCTCTTAACTGCCACTGAAAACCAGCTGCAGCAACTGAATTTTATACTTCCTCTGCATGTATAGCATCTTCTTAAAATTTTTTGAGAAATATAGTCATTTTAATAGAAAACTTTGCAGTGCAAAGATGCTGATAGAACTGTCCATTCCTTCATCAGCTCCACTCAGAGCCTGGCTCCACCAAAGCACAAGGCAGTAACTGTGTACCCTGAGGGGTTTGAGGAAGAACAGTGTTCTGGGTCTTGTAGAAGTTATCAGTAGCAGCACTGTTAACATGTTGCTAAAAGGCATAGAAAAAAAAAGGCCCCTTAACTCACTCTGGCGTCAAAGAGTCCATTTTAATGGTAGTGTTCCCAATTAACCTTTACAGTGAACTCTAATGCACCTTGACCTTCTCTACAGTTTTAAGGACCCCATGAAACAGCTTTGGAGTGGTTTAATATCTTGCTTTTGGCTTTACCTAAAAGGCAGTAGCTGTCCATACAAAAAATTTCTTTTTTAAACTTTATTCATGTTCCTTTCAGGTTAATTTAATTCTATAATAGTTTTTATTTTATTTTATTGCAGCTCCACTCAGTGATGTGGGAGGTTTCTTTCTATTCTGCAGCACAAGTGTAACATTTAGTAGTTCTGATGAAAAAGCATTTTACTGGGAAAGATACTAACTTAAGTCAATCAGCAAACAAGAGGATTAACAAAGCTTATGGTTAAAGGAGAGTTTGAGCAGTTATTGTTTTGAATTAGGGCTAAAAAAATTAATTCGTCGATTAGTGAAATAATCATCAACTAATTTAATAATCGATTAATCTTTAACTGGAGTGTAAAGACTCTAAAACATGCCTTTAGCTGACAGAGCAACCCTCGAGCAACAATTATACCAAAATTGTAAAAAAAATATGTAAAATTTTGCATTTAAGATCAAAATCTTTTTCGTCTGTCAATATGCTCTATCCAGAACTCAAGTTTTAGTTTCAACTGGTTTAATTTTGCAAAAAGTCTTCTTTAAGGAACCGTAGCTATCCGAAAAAATGACCAACAGATTGATTTGCAAAATAATCGTTAGTTGCAGCCCTATTTTTGATCGTTCCTTTATCTTTTAGCTACTCTTGAATCATGTTGGTTGGATTAGATCTGGAAATTGCTGCAAGGAAATAGGTAATACAAACAGAAACTATGATGCACACACTAACTTTCACACACAAAGAGAAGCTCACTGAGTGGGCCATTATAGATTTTTCATCAAAAGACTTAAATGCATATTTACCAGTGGGGTAAATTTTGAATGCCTGCTTTGCAGCAGAATCACACTACTATAGTAAGACACAGTCCCTAACAAACCTTGTGTCTGACGTCTTTTAACATCTAAATGGATTTCAAATTTGAAAATTAAATTGTAACTTAAGAAGTCTCCCATATGTTTAAACATATCTGATACAAATCGAGAGTCTGATTTTTCATCTGAGAGGCGATATACGATATTTATCGCAAAACAATTTCTTTTTCATTTCTTCTAACTAGAAGAAGCATTTGGTTAGGATACAAGATTTTTCTCAGGGATAAAGAGCGCAAATTTTTCAACAACCTCAGATCTACCGCTATAACTTGTTGCTGTTGCTAACACCCTCTGAATCCATTAGCAACTTATCGTCTGCAGCCGGCAACATGGGAGAAACAATATTGGAAACATTTGATGACAACAACCTAACTGATCTTCATCTGCTCCAGTTAAGTAAGCCTAGCAATGATACTAAATGACATTAGCATGGTACTGGTAGGAAGGAAGGAAGGAAGGAAGGAAGGAAGGAAGGAAGGAAGGAAGGAAGGAAGGAAGGAAGGAAGGAAGGAAGGAAGGAAGGAAGGAAGGAAGGAAGGACACAAGGAAGGAAGGTCACAAAGAAGGAAGGATGGAGGACACAAGGAAGAGAAGAAGGACACAAAGAAGGACACAAGGAAGGAAGGAATGACACAAGGAAGGAAGGACACAAAGAAGGAGACAAGAAAGGAAGGAATAACACATGGAAGGAAGGACACAAAGAAGGAAGGTCACAAAGAAGGAAGGATGGAAGGACACAAGGAAGAGAAGAAGGAAGGAAACAAAGAAGGATGGAAGGACACAAGGAAAGAAAGAAGGACACAAAGAAGGACACAAGGAAGGAAGGACACAAATAAGGCAGGAAGGACACAAGAAAGGAAGGAATGACACAAGGAAGGAAGGAAGGAAATACACAAGGTGGTAAGTAAGGAAGGACACAAGGAAGGCAGTTTACAAGGTGTAAAAATAATGGGATAGAGAGTCATAGAGTCAGGCGTTAAAACATAATCGTTTATGACTTGTTTAGACTAAACAGGCTGAAATCAATTTTCCTTTTTTTTTAAACTACTTAAGAACCCAAATTATTTCTAAGGTTTTCAGAGCTTTCTGCTGAAGCCATAAATTAGCTCAGCTGCAAGTCTCTGACAGCCTTTTGTTGCTGCGCAGGATGCTCAAATACTCATTTACAAATGTAAACCTTTGCACAGAAAGGTGGATTTGCAGAAGGAGAAAGAAAAGACAAACAGTGCGGCTCAATCTGATACATCTATGGCAGCGGTCCAATACCCTCACTGTGAGACAGACAGAAACACACATCAGAGACGGGGGTGGAACGGTGCCCAGATTCCCAAACATCCCTGCCGTTATGTATGGCATTATGTAAGTTCACAGAGGAACGGCTCATTTGCTCCTTATCTACCCAACTACACCCAAAGAGAAACTCCGCAGGGGGAAGGGGGGGGGGGGGGCATGCAGTCTCATCTCAATTGGCAAACCTCACACAAAAACACAGCAATGTTTTAGCCAGCTTCTTTCCGTTTAACAACACAAATCTGTTTTCTTCTGCGCTACATGTAGGATGGAGGAATGTTCTCTGTGGAGACTCAATTCCCTATTCACTGGAGTCTTACTGGTGCAAAGCCCCTTTCCTGGAAGCCAAAGAGAACCAATCCAACTTAATGTCAGCTCGACAGGAGCTCCCACGGTTTGGGTTAGCGGGAGGCTTCACGTTTGTACCTCCACTCAGAAGGAATAAGGCAGCTGACGTTACGTCACCTCCTTCATCCCCTCGGTCTCAATAAGACGTCACAACGTCGATCCCAAGCCTGTCACAAAAACAAAGTCCACTGCTTGTTAATGTTGTTTGTTTAGGAGATCTATTTATAGAGCTCTACAATGCCGTTCAGCCAAATTCTTTAGGTTACTGGAGAGTTGGAGAGGAGAAAATCCAAGCGGAGAAACAAAGAGCTCATTCTGCAGGAGTTGGACTCTGGAAGTGGGACTGTTGTGTTGCAGAGACACTATATTTCACCTAACTGGTCTGAAAGAGGACTTTCCACTGAACACATACTAAGAAAGCCTTGCAGAACTACACCTGAGAGGTTGTCCTATGGGCGTCCAGTCCATAAGGTCTAAACCCTTTTCCAGCAAGACCTGGTTACTGGTATCAAGATAGAACTCCCAAACCAGATCATAAAACTGTTGCTATAGTCTACTACCCTTATGAGGATGTGTCAGAGAAAGTTTTTTTTTCTTGCTATAGTAATGATGAAGTGCTGCAGTGATGCCCCCTCCACAACTGTTGCAGTGCACTGCCAATCAGCTGGCTAAAAAAAAAAAAAAGCTTCTACGGCTTTTCTTTGCACAAAAAACAAACATAAATTCAGTTGTTTGGAATCATTTCAGGTCGTGATTACTGTCGCCAGGTATGCTTTCTTTGTGTTTATTTAGAACACATCAAACACAATCATGCAATGGAAAGTGCATTGCTATGGGGGCAGGTTGTTTAGTGTTGTGTTGATGGAGAAGAAGAAAAAACATAAAGTCTGTGTAAATGGGCTTTTGTTGCTAGATTGATGTTTTAGACATAGTTGTATGTCTGCAACTACTCAAAGTAGCCCCGTGAGGCATTTTCAAATTCTTTTGTTTTAACATTTGCACTTTTTTATGTCAATTGCTACTCTTAGGTTACATCCTGTCTTCCTGCTTTTGACATAATGACCCAGCGGTTATTCACACTGCAAGTGAACCAGGGTCTTGTTAATCCAAGGTCTGGATAAACAGTTCAGCGACTGGAAATTGTAACCAGGGTAGGGTTCTAGGGTCTGTTTCAGAGTCCATTATGGGTTCACACCAGTGTAACAGTGGGTAAACATGCAATATTTTCAATCTTTGTACTCAGCTACAGCTTAAACTGTAAAACAAATCTGCAGGGTATAAAAGTTCAAAGCACACAATGTATTTACTTACAGTGTACGGCCCAATGCGATCTAACTGCTCACACTCTACGTCTAAAAACCACTTGTCAGACTCAGCGCCGAGAGATGGCGTTGGTTGGACTCGTCAATCTGGTAGCCAAACTTAGACCGTCGATAAGAAGAATTCCCTCGTTTGCACAAGTGCAGTGCGAGAGGTTCTGGTAAATTGGCTCTTAGATGCCTGTAGCTCACTTCATTTTCCTCAGGTACATCTCATGAGGGCCGACTGATTTCAAACGTTTGATTTTCTCCGGACCTTAAGAGTTCTGATCAGGAGGTAGTCGGGAGAGAATAATCACCCTTTGTTGCCCACTGTATGCTACACAACGCAGGACGCAAGATGATGCTGAAACTGGGCCCGATTCGAAAAATTTTTGCACGACTGGAAAAACAACCAGAAAAAGGAAAGAAAATCTTAGGTCACAAGACTTAAGTCACTCCAGAAACCAAATTCTGCCCCGGTAAAAGAAAAAAAGAAGGTCCAAAGGGATAGAGTAAAAGTCCCGTAAAGCAGCTGTCATTTTTTGTACTCTACCTAAGCAGAGAGTCCGACTAATTCAACAGCTTAGTATACATACATGCAAAAGAGGCAGAACAGTGAAAAGGTAGAATATTCAGTATAAATACACGTAAATCCACTAGTTAATTTATTCCAGCTGTTTGGTAATAATACATGTTATCTTAATTTAGCAGAAGTAGAAATATACATTTCTAATCTGATTTACATAACAGCAAAAATAGATCTAGCTATATTTTATCATAAAACTAGCAGCTTAAACCATGGAAACTATACAATCCTTCATCTACTATAGAGATCCCTTGCACTGCAAAATCCGTGCACTGCATTTTTCACTGCATTTCATGTTTGATAATAGTTTTGGAAAATTAAATGACTCAAACTTTACAGTATGTCCCTGTATTTTCATAGTTTATCTGGATTTAAAGCTGTTCTTTAAATTAGGGAGGAATCCAGTTATGAATTAAAAGGCTCGTTTTATTAGGAGAACAATCAAAGTTTGCTTTCAGACTGTGAGGCTTTGTTAAACACATCGCTCTTTAATATTAGAACAAGCTAATAACGCTTTTTCAACTCAACAAATGTTTTTCATGCAGACTGGAAGACCAGACATTCCTCTGTTTTGCTTTTTTTTGTTTCAGGGGCTGTTGAGAACAAACTGATCTTAAAGAAATAAACTTTGAAACAGAGGCTTGAAGTAAAAAAAATAGTGTGGTAAACCCCAACTTTAAAACCGTCTAGTCTAAAAACAGGTCTCTCCAAGTCACTCGAGCTCAGAGAATGCAGCTGTTTGTTTTCTTATTATGTCTTGATATCACAACAATGATGAGTGCATCCCATGGGGAGTAAAGGAGTAAAATCTAAAGCTACTTTCCTTTGGTTTTCATCTGCTTCATCAAAAAAAGATTAACGGTTTATTTTATATAGTTAACAGCTGAGCCTCAATATAATTCATTAATTTATGTACTTTGGGTTCAGGTCAACATTTCAATGGTTCTGATTTATTTTGTTAACATTGTAGTCAAGGATCTGGTCCATGTAAACTCATCTCAGCAGCAAATAAATCCAATTTAGGTCTTTCTGGTCATTTTGACACAAGAAAGTCTGGTTCAGGTATTTGCTAATGTTAAGCCATTTTATGATTAGCCACATTAGCAGCTACTTTAGTGCTGGTTTGTCTACTGAAGTACTTTTCCTACATTAATTCATACATGCAGTTTAACACGGCTGTTGCAATGTTTTGCAATTCTTTTTTTGTTTCTTTATTTTTTTTTTACAAGGCTCCCAGTCTTTAAGATGCTCTACCAGAGATGTACCATAAGCACAACCAGCATCCCCGTTTCTTGGCTTCCTTCAGCTTGATTCTAGCAAAGCTTTTCTCCAGACATACCGTAATTTTTGGACTATAAGCCACAACTTTTTCCCCATTTTTCGACCTTGATGCTTATATAACAATGCGGCTTATCTATATATTTTTACAGCTAACAGCCACTAGGGTAATACGGTACCTAAATCTATGGTTTTTAACATCCATCATGTTGACGTCACATTTGCTTCAACACACAAGTAGCCGCGCGCGCGGGAATGCGGACATCCTCCGGAAGCAGACTCCAAGAAAGACGGACATTGCGAGCGCAAGACAGTTTGTGTGACACCCTCATTATGGAAAACAAACGTTGAAATGCATATGATGCAGCTTTTAAGTTAAAGGCAGTCAATTTGGCAGTAAACGAAGGAAATAGAACCGCTGCACGTAACCTTGGAATCAACGAGTCAATGGTGAGACGTTTGGAGACGCCAGCAGGAAGAATTGTCTCAATTCAATTGTGTTGAAATGTTAATAAATAGGAGCTTCCCCAAACACTTGCCTCTTTCCCGACAATCCTCTCTGTGCACGAACCATATGGTTATTAAGCATAAAAAACCTGCGGCTTATAGTCCGGTGCGGCTTGTATATGTACGAATCATGCAATTTAGCTTCTGCGGCTTATATTCAGGTGCGGCTTATAGTCCGAAAATTACGGTACTTGTGGTTAAAATATTTTACAAAAGTAAAAAAAAAAAAAAATAAAATAAAATAATCTATATCTTAGGTAATATCACATAACGGAAAAGGATATATATACTGCAGGTCTTTTCAATCAATTCGATTACGATCTGTACATTTATGTGATTTTATTTTAATTTATATAAGGAATAAAAAAGTTTACTGAGTTTATTTCATTTATAGATCAAAAACAGATAAAAAACTAAAACCCATTGCAATTAATTTAATCAATATGACATCTTTAGAGAGAAAAATGTCTGATTTTGTCTGAGAATTGGTGCATCTCGAGCTTTTCTCCACCAAATTTCTGGGAAATTCTCGCCTATTTTGCATACCCAAATGGAAAAGCAAAAAACTGAGGAACTGTAAGCCCCAATAGGGGGTTTTCAGGTGACGTTACGCTCACGTTACTACTCAGCGCGTCCACCATATTGGGTGGCAGCCTTAGGCAATATTTACAGTGAAAAATGGTGAAATCGTGTGTAATTGTTGGTTGCACGGCCCGTGGAGGTGGAGATCAACGCTCTTTCTATCGCATACCAGCCGTAATCGTGAATCAATGTGAAAAAACAAAACAGCTATCTGAACAACGCCGTCACCTATGGCTGACACGGATATCCAGGTCCGATTTGGACGGTGTTAAGCTGGAATACGCCAGAATCTGCAGTGCTCACTTTGTCACAGGTAATTAACTGTCAAGCATTTAAAACATGTAAGAATATATTAATAATAGGGCTTGGGCGTCATGACGTATTACTTTCCGTGGCTGCAATGTTGACCGTCTCCGCCGCCGCTACTCAGACTACTGCCTATGACCACCGCGTACTGGACTCCCTCTCTCAGCCGTGTTTTAATTTGATTAATTTCACCTTAACTTGATTTCAACCAGCGGGAAAAGGCTCAAATATGTGAGAAACCCGGAGGGTTTAGGGAGGTTTGGCAGTTAACGTTACTAACCAAACCTTTGAAACACATAGCAGCTAGTTAAAAGTACATTATATGCCTGAGTGGTTGTTAGCACTAATGGTTAGCACTGTTTGCTGGCTTTATGAGCTGCAGCTCCTGAACTCATCCATTCGTAAACTGCACATGAGACTCCAAGGACTTGTCGCTTTGGAACTGTTAGCGCACCGCCGGGCCGTTAGCCACCTAGCATAGCGAGCCCTGCGTCGGATTGTTTACATTTTTACCATCTTATTAAAACTCACCCGTCCATGTATGATGGCGATTTCCTTCATGTACATTACTTCGACGTCTCGTACCCAACCAGATGTGAACTGGTTGTGAGCCTCTAGACCCTTGTACGCTATCATTTCCTCAAGAGTGTGCAGAGGGTTTTCACTGAACACCAGGTAATGAACTATGTCGCCATGCTCTACATTTGGCCAATCATCTGGATTAGTGCTAAACAAGGCACCGTGGAGGGCATAGGGGTCCATATGGTCGATCACGGAACATTTCCTCAGATACGTTCCATGATCTGGTGGCTCTAGCGTGCTGGCGTACTTATCCATTCGTGACATGATATATATGATATACGATAATATGCCACCAAAGATGGCGGACCGGTAGCTGGCCAGTGACGTCACTGAAAACCCCCTATTACATGTGTGATCCGTTATTTGAAAGCTAACACATTCTAGTTTCTAAATATATACATGAAAATTGGGTGAGTAAAACACCCCAGCTGCATCAGTCCAAACATGACTCGAAAATAATAAGTCTGTTTTGAACAGCAATAATAAAGGCATGTTTGCTTGTTGTGGCCGCTTTGTCATGCTACATTTCTACATGCTGCTACTGTATAATTGTGCTTTGGTGCTCGCTATGTCCATAAAATGAACTAGGTGGTTGAATTGTGGAGAATCTAAGCTTTCCAACAATGTCTAACATGTCATTATTGGAAAACATTTTACCAGTGTAATTTTCATGCATTCTGAGTTATTATTTGTAAACGCTTTAAAACGTTGGATTTTAAGAGGTTAAAAGGTGCATTTAGGTTGCTGTTGACCAGGAATATAATAAGACAAATTAAAAGTTGCATGAGGATCTGAGAACTTCCTCACAGTATCTCTAGAATGCATGGATGATTATCCAAAAAACTGTACGAAAATGTAATAATATTATGATGACATTCTTCCTGCAGAGTAAAAAGAAAAATGTCATTAATGAAAACATTCAGATCTAAGCCCCAAATCAACAAGCTTTCAATCAATTCAGGCTGTTGCTAACGGTGCTATTTAAAGCAAACTGAACTTCAGAGCAAGACTTCAACACATTGATTCACACACTGAACCACCGACATGCAAACAAGCACAAAGCTCTGAAAATATTTACCTGGTAGTTTGAGTGACGTAAAAAGTAGTCAGGGCATCCTGCTAAAGCCATGATGTTTGCCTTGTGCTCCCTCTTATAGGGAACCCTCTGGTCTCACCGAGCACCCTGCACATGGAGGAGGAGCACAACAAACAAATGAGACAAAGCAAACCTAATCTGACAGGATAATGATTAGATGGAGAGAGGAAAGAAAAAAAAAAAACTCCAGAAAGACAGATGTCAGAGATTCTTCCAAACCAGCCAGCCATGCAGAAGATGCTACTTGGTCAAACCTGTATCCAGTACCCAAAAACCTACACGCATCTAGCTTTACCGAACAAGGAGAAATTGCATGTGTGCCTGAAAACATTGAGGTGCATGTACACACTGATTCTAGTGCAAACAAAGCCATTGTGTTCAACACACACACACTTATATACACACCAGCCAGTCCCCAAACAAAGCCTGGGGCTTAAGACTAAATAAGAAACCTTTTCCAAGCTGGCAACACATGACCACACACCACCTGCAGCCTGTTAAAGAAGCCAGGGGGCTCATTCAGCTAACTGGTTATAGTGGCTAAAAAAATGGACTCTCATACGTCAACATTTAATCCTGTATTTATTTCTAGCTTTATTGAAAGGCTAAACTATTCTCCAACTTTTCTTTAAATTCTCATTCTAGCCTCCCTAAATACTGCCACTGTAATCTGTTCTCACAAGGCATCAACGGGATATGGTTTTGGAGTATAAAAAAAGCTTTTCTAAATAATTGCTCCTACAGAAGAAAAAAAATCATTAATGAGATGCAAGAGAAAGCACTAGAGTGCTACAGATGTTTTGCTAGTTTCCCCTGACTCCAACTCTCCCTGCAAACTGCTAGTCAGCTGGCTAAAAGGTCACCAAACTTTCTCTACCCCTGCAAAACAAAAAGGTTAAGCTGCTTTTGAAATGCTGTCGAAACTTCTACCCCTTTAAAGGAATAGTACACCCAAAACATGATTAGCCTTCATTTTCTACTCACCCCCATGCTGAACAACACCCTGGAGTACTTTTTTGATATCTCAAATGCATCTGGAGATCTGGGAGGCTTCTTGCTGTCTGCTGACATTCAAATAATGGAGGTCTATGGTGCCCGAGACAGAAAGGTCCATAAAAGTCCACAAAAAACGTGTCAATATTCCTCCATACTGCTCGTCCAATGTATTCCAAGTGTCCTGAGTGGGTAGCATCCAGAATTTACTCGAAACGAAGTCATTTAGAATGTTTTTAGAGCATAAACAGTAGTGTATAGGATTTCCTGAAAGCGCGCACATGCGCGATCACGACGCTACGGAAGCCGGCAGACCAAACCAGATGAAAGTGCGCATTCAGCGTCTGCTCTGCCGATAATACAAGCGTAGAAGAAGAAATGTGCTGTTTACCTGTGCAAAGAAAGAAACAACGAAAGAAAAATGTCTGAGGACTTCAGTGTTGAGGAAGAGCATGAGTTCTTTGCCGAGCTGAATGCGCTGGTTTGGTCTGCCGGCTTCCGTAGCGTCGTGATCGCACATGTGCACGCTTTCAGGAAATCCTATACACTACTGTTTATGCTCTAAAAACATTCTAAATGACTTCGTTTCGAGTAAATTCTGGATGCTACCCACTCAGGAAACTTGGAATACATTGGACGAGCAGTATGGAGGAATATTGACACGTTTTTTGTGGACTTTTATGGACCTTTCTGCCTCGGGCACCATAGACCTCCATTATTTGAATGTCAGCAGACAGCAAGAAGCCTCCCAGATCTCCAGATGCATTTGAGATATCAAAAAAGTACTCCAGGGTGTTGTTCAGCATGGGGGTGAGTAGAAAATGAAGGCTAATCATGTTTTGGGTGTACTATTCCTTTAAGCTACAATTGCTGACTGAAACCTGGCTACCTGAGTAGAAAGCCTAGACTAATTTACAAGCAAACACAGATGCTTTATCTGTAGACCTCAGAAAATGTTGCTATAATCTAAACTTTAAAAAAACAACTCCATCTCCCTGGTGTTGTTGCATGTTTTTGTTAACATCTATTCATTTTAAATAATAAGAGTACTTTGATCAAATCTAACAATCAGGATTATCTCATACCGACCTATGCCTAATGCCAACCTAAAAGTTTGTTAGAGATCCTTAATGACCATGAAAGCCAGCCCTGCTCCCTGCTATGAAACCTCCCCATCCGCATGGTTTGGTTCATAGAAAGCTGCGATCATAATCAGGAAAACTTCAGCCTTGTTATGTTCACTGAAACCAAGCCATCTGCATGCTTCATCGAAGGGCAGCTCGCAGCTCATGCAGAAAGCTATGCATCAATCTACACAGGAACACTGAAGTTTGCATTCCTCTGAGCCAGCTCTCTGATTTCCCTATACTTTCCCTCTCAGTGCCTATTGTACAGGTCAGGACATTATATAACAGATATCAGATGGTTCAAACAATAACTCTTCCACCCCCTGCACCTCCTCAGCCGCCTCCACCTTCTCCTTTCACCCCACTAATTACTGTTTCCACAGGGGCTCTGCTATCTTTAGGTCGCTCTCGCTGACTGAGAATGCGTGTCCAAATGTGTATGCACAGTTGGACACACATTGAAAAAGACACCCTCTCCAGAACTGATAATTGCATCCCCCTCTTTTTTTCTTTTTTGCTTTTCAGCTACAACCAGTTTTTGAGCCTCACATGTTCTTCCTCCACAGGATCAGGCTGCTCACTCCAAACAAAAAGCTGGCCAAAAGGGCAAGCCCTGCTGATTGTATGTGCAAGTCTAATAAGCCTGAACACTAAGCCCAAGCCCTGAGTGCATGACATTTAGTGACATTTGTAGGTCCTCCTGCAGAGAAAGGGAATAATTCAGCTTTACTTGTGATACTGGAACACCTAGAGATTTAAAGGACTATGAAGCAACATGATATTAACACACTTGCTGTGTGTTTATCCTCAGTCCTTCAAACATGTATTTCTGCAAAAATAGCTTTTAAAAATGCATATAAATGTGGTGTTCTCCATGCAGCAGCAGAGACGGATGAATATTTAAAACATGAACTCTCTGCTAAGAGAAATCATCAACACACAGCTTGCTATCTCCCTGCATGGAGCAGCTCCCAAACATGCAGCTGGTTTATATAAACGCCTTGTCTATTTAAGTGGCAGCGTTGCGGATGAAATAAGCATTGCACTCCTTACTGACAACCATACATAACATTAAGCCTGACTTATTGAGTGCAAATACTAACAATACAACCCTAACTTTTATTTTTTTAAGCAGCCAAACCAAGTTTTAACGCTAAATCGTTCAAAGTATAAAAAAATAAAAAATAAATAAAAAAAATGTGTCTTATCTCATTTTGAAGATGATGCAAAAGTTTTTGTACATCTTGTTATAATAAAAACAGAATATCTGTAAAACTGTAATATCTTACTGTAGAGCCGTCAGTAAACGCTCCACTGCGCGCCCCTGAATGCCTCAGACTGACAGAAAACGCGTCTCTGTGTAGAAATTAGTTCCTAAACAAATACACACAAAAAAAGACGCTTACGGTTATGAAAGGGCAGCGTGCGGTTCGCGTTTGTTTCCAGGACCCCGGTTTAAACGCTTCAACTTTCCTCCTCTGAATCTCTGCTCAAACTGCTCCCCCCCTCACCCCCCTGTCCGCCGCCGTGTTCACCTTGTCCCCCGAAGCGCTGCCCTTGCGCACGTACGGACCGCACATACACTCGCACACTCTCTCTATTACTCGGGCACGCGCACACAGGCATAGACACGTTCAGATTGCTCCAGGCTTCCCCCCCCCATACTCCCCCCACCCCTCGCCGTGTTTCGACCAGCTGACTCCCCTTCGGTCTCGCCCCTCACCCTCACGCGCGCATGCACGCGCATAAGGAAACCTCTCTCTCTCTCTCTCTCTCTCTCTCTCTCTCTCTCTCTTCCAGCTCCGCCCTCCTTACTGCACTGTAAAAAGTATCTAACTTTTGTCTAACAAGCTGCAGGTCAGTGGGGATTCACCGTAATGCAATACTAAGCAGTTGCTTAGGGCCCCAAGTTCCTAGGGGCCCCATAAAACTCTCTTTAGATGTATGGTTAATACAACTATTCCTTATTTGTGCACATTAATTGTTTTTAATGATTAATGTGCCTCCCGGCTGCTCAGTGGCGGAGTGGGTAGCACTGCTGCCTTGCAGCAAGAAGGTTCTGATTTAGATTCCTTTCTGCATGTAGTTTGCAAGTTCTCCCTGAGCATGCGTGGGTTCTCTCCGGGTACTCCGGCTTCCTCCCACAGTCCAGAAACATGAATGTTAGGTTAATTGGCTCTAGATTCTCCTTAGGTGTGAGTCTGTGCGTGAATGGTTGTTTGTCCTGTTTATCTCTGTGTTGCCCTGCGATGGACTGGTGACCTGTCCAGAGTGTACCCCGCCTCTCACCTGTAGACAGCTGGAGATAGGCACCAGCACCCCTCGCGACCCCCCCCCCCCCTTCAGTGTTCAACACATTGGACTACACATGTTCAGAAACGTCTGAACAGACAGCAAACCATTTAAAAAAAAACATTGCAAAGAGCTGTGTTGCCAACTTAGCACTTTTGTTGCTATACTTAGCGACTTTTCAGACCCCTCTAGTGCTTTTATTTCAAAAAAGCACCAAGCGCCAAATCTAGTGACTTTTTTTCTGCTGCTGGAGACTTTGGCGACAACACATAAAAGCACCGAGCTCTGTTCTCCAGAGCAAGTAGATTGGTAACAGCTGTTATTTCATACAAATGAAAAATGGAGAAAAGATAAGCATATCATAGCTTGTCTACAGTGAAAAGAAGGACTGTGTTATTTACAACTATTTCTTATTTGTGGACATTAATTATGTTTTTGATAAAAATAATTTCACTAAAATGCCATCAGAATGCTTATAATATTAAGGTCGTAGGGAAATCATATTTAAATGTCAAATCATTCTGGCTTAAACATGTATATAAATATACTCATTATAAGACTATATTGTCCCAAAATTTATAAAATTACTATTTTTAAAATCAGTTTTTTTTTTTTTCTACGTTATCTTATGCAGGCCAGTTAGTTAGTACTGGCAATTTAGTACACCTAAATTCGGCCAATCATATATCAACGGTCATCTATCAATCAAATTTTTTCGGTCATAGTATCTTGATTCATATGTCAGAGCTAACAGAACTGGCAACGTTGCGAGGCAAGGGCTCAAACATGTACGGCTGTAAGCCTTCTACACCAAACCAAGCTTCTGCCGCCCTGGCGTCCTCTTCAACAACATCTTAGTCCCTGCTTTCCTCCTCTAAATAAAAAATGTATGACGGAGGAGACTCATCCAAGACCTCCGAAACTAAACTCTCCTCCTCTTGCATGTTTCCTCTGTCCATAGCGTTCCTTGACAGTGTCATTTCTAAGTCACCAATTTAGTGCTACTTGGTCCAAATGGAATTTCCTATTTGGAACCTACTAGCACAAAGTTGCTAACCACTCGGGATAATTTGGAAATGGAACGGTTGGAACAGTGTTGCCCTGAAACGGACTGGTAAGCTGTCCAGGGTGAACCCCGCCTCTCGCCCATGCTCCACCATAACCCTTATGGAATAAGCAGGAGAAGATGGATGGATGGCTTTAGAAGTTTTTCTTTGTTTTTGATATTTTAAAGACTCTTAGATGACAGCGGAGAAAAACTCTCCTCCTTAAACATGAAAACTAATTCTTGATATTTTGACGATTGTTTCGAATAGTTAATAGCTGTATTTTTGTAGTCAGTTATTTCTAACATACTAAGGACATTCTAAATGGTTGTATCTCTGCTGCCAACCTCAGGTTTGGAAGAAGATTGCGTTTTTCACCCCTTTAGAGGCACACCAATTAGATCTGCCTCTGAACAACCTGGGAGTTCAGTTCACTGTCTAAAACCTTTTTTTTTTGTGGCCAAAGTGCACATAAACAACAGGACATTTAAATTGGACCATTGCTTTAATCCACCATTTTTCTTCAGATATACTTTTCAAATGTGCCTCAAAGGGACCTCTACAGGTGAAACGTAATAACTGCAGCTGAACGGCACATGTCTACATAGCTCGGTATCTACGTCGTACTGTAACCCTGCATTCAGGTATAATAGTTAAAGTGTAGGCATACTGTTAGCATTTATGCTGGGTACTTAGATTATTTTGTTATGTCAAAATCTTTGTCCCTTCCCTTGACCTCTTAACTCATTTTGCTAATCGGAAGTCTACGCAACAAATTTTGGTGACGTTTTTCACTTCTTTGAGAGCAGGTTTTTTCTTTTACATCAGGTTTACTTCCACTTTAGTGTTGTATACATGTAGGCCATGAGGGAAGGATTTGTCTCTTCTCAATCAGCAGTAGCTACTGGAAATCTTCTGCCCCTGAAGAAAGCCAATGCAAATGCATTTGGTTGTTTGGCGCAGTCTAAAACTCTCTGAATAAAATTCAAACCAGGTCAACTGAAGGTGCAAGTTTTGCAACTTTTACCCATCGCTAAGCTGGACCAGCAGTCTGAATGTTCCCCTAGTTGCAGCAATCCAATTCCTCATCATGCATCATGCTCTGTTTTTTGCAGCTCAAGGGTTTTTTTTTTCAAACTTTGAGAGACTTTATATAAAATTCATCCTGTACATTTTAACTGTAAAAAATTAACCCCTCACTACCAAAGCATAAAAGCCACAACTGCCTGGTTACTTTATTGGAGCCTGATGGACCTAAACCAGCCCAGTGCTGATGCCATGATCCCATCAGCAGGTTAGAGCCTTTGCTAGAGCATATTATGATCCTCTATTTTAAATTAGGGCTAATTATTAACTGAGCTAGTCAGCTAGCAAGTCAGCTATTAGAGGTCATGAAAATATTAGTGATTTTCTCCAGTACTGTGTGTCACTACTTTAATATACCTTTGCTGATGGTTAACCTGGCTAATTAGAAAAAAGAAATATTAATATCCAAGTAAAGGGATTTAACATTTTTGGTTATTCACATTTAATCGTCTATAGAGTCAATGACTCGTCTAAAAAAATTTCTATTCAATTTTAATATGAAACAATTCAAATATTACACTACAGTTATATAAATATTCAGATGTTGTCAGGAAAAGCTTCCTGATGAGGACTAATGAATTTGTTAGAGCAGAAGTTGCAGTTTATTTTTAGATGATACTTGATTTGTTAAATTTTATTTGTCTTCTCTTTATAATTATCTATCTTTCACCAGCTTACAGTGCATAGAATATGTGCCTAAAAACAAGATAAAAACAAAATCTTAGGTAGAAAGGTACACAGTAAGTTATCTTTTCATTCAGGAATTTTGTTTCACTTAACAAGATTGCTTGAATTAAGAGGTTAGTGTAAAGTTTGAAAGTTAATATAAGCATCTACCTTTTAAACAAGATAAAATAACTAAAACTTCTAAATATAAGTTGTGTTTTTTATCTTAGTAAGAACCTAATAATTTGCAGGTTTTATCAACACAATGATTAGCTAAATCTCTCAGCCTACTATTTTTATACTAGAACACATTTCTTTGTCATACAGCAGATAGGCTGGATGGACGATCTGTTTGAAAGTTATTATTTATAATTTGACACATAATGAAGTTTTTCAGGACTTGGCTTATATGGATACACGCCTTTCAGCACAGAACCAATAGGCTGACAGAGCAGACAGGTCAGTAAAATACTTAATCTTACAGGAAAGCACTCCTAAGCACAATACGAAAGCCTGCCAAATATTAGACATTTATATATACACATGCATGATCCAAAGCTACTTTGTTTATAAAATGAACACATATGGACCGTTAAAAAAATCACACGGGTGTGCTTATACTCAGATACAGAACTTGGCAGAACATCGCTGACATCTGCAGCAGTTCTCTCACAGTCGGAGTCATTGCGGTACAGATTGCAATTCGTTATCAGACTGAACCGCTCAAGCTGTGTGTTGTGGGCTTTTTTTTTTTTTTTAGGTTAAATTGGACTTGCTTTAGCCCTCTATTCAAGGCATCTTGTGGAGAGTATCTTCCCTCGCAGAAGGTAATGTTTGGCTGTGCAATCAGCAAGCTCAATCCGGTCCAGAGTCTAGTCCGAAAGAGTTTAAGATAAGAAGATCTATACGGTTAAGAAATTGAGCTTATAGAGGTCAAAGGTGATTTGCGGCTGAACATTTAAGTACACGTATTTAGGGATTGACATTTAGATTGATAACATAAGGTGACAGAAAACAGTGCCAAAAGTTGGTGTGAGTAATGTCATACAGTTTTCCTTTTGGATATTATCAATAAAAGTCATATAAAAAGACTAATTACTGTAAATTATAAGTGTTTGGACAAGGTTGTATCTGTTTTGTATTATATAGGAAAGTTAGGTAAAGAACACTCATATTTCACCTTTCTATGCTTGTGATACTGAACAATCTTTATTTGATGTCCAGCTAGTCTAGTATGTTATAGATTATTTTGATACATTAAAAAATGAAGTGCAAGGAATATTGTGAGACAGAGATGCTATTTTCACCACACAACAGTGACACTGCTAAGAAAATTACATATGTGCCCTATAGGAGCCCATTGTAGTTCTGTGTTTGGGTCTCATAGTTTGTAGTCCTGTGTTCTGGCATAGCTTGGGTCTATCTTATTTAGTTTAAATACATTGGTTTGGTTAGGTGGCTGTATTTGGTT